CCAGGCCCCCTTGGTCCCCGGAGCCGGGCACCGCAGCCGACAAAGCCCGGTTGTGTGGGTGACGAAGTTTGGCTGCCCAGAAGACTTGCCCGAAGCTTCGAAATGCTTCGTGCAGCTCAAATTCTCTTTAGAGGAGGGGGGAAAAAAGCTTTGTAAAGCATCTAATGTAGGGGGAAAGTTGTTGGGGGCGAGGCTATAATGTCATTTTCAGGGCCAGGAGGAGTTGGGGGGTGGGCAGAAGTATCAGACCCGCTTTTCTGGGGAGCAGTGTGCTATAGTGGCTCAGATCAGGGGGTTTCTGGGAGCTCTGGTGCTGCCCTGGTGGGACTGGGGCAGGCGATGCTGAGGCAGCAGAGGCCTCTCATGGCCGGGTTGGTTGGGGGTTGTCCCTCAGACCCCCTGTGGGCGAAGAGATGTGGTGACCTTGCCCAAGGTCACACCTGAAACCAGTGCCCGAATTTGGTGCTGGCTTTCCCACTCCCCAGGATGTACTCAGCCATCAAACAGCCCTTTCTTCCCTCATGAGGACCCCTTATTTTAAAAAAAAACCCTGAAATACGGCATTGAGTTCAAATCCTGCCGCTGCAGGAGGCAGCTCTGGAGTTGGTGCCCTTGCTCCAGGCGTCTCGGGAGGCCACCGTGCTTGGTCTTGGTGGCCAGACTTGCACCGGCTGCCCTGTGCATCCAGCCCAGCTCTTCTGGTTCTTCCCCCCCCTCATCCCGTTGGCATGATGAGCTTGGTGCTGGTTTATGCGTCGTTTAATATCGAGGGCTTGGCTTCAGGTTGGTGCTTCACAGATTCAGAACTGCCTTCTCCTGTGTTGTCTTTAGATAAAACAAAACGGTGCAGAAATGCCTTTTTTTTTTTTTTTTTCCCCCCCCTTGGATAAATGAATAAATGAAGCTTTTTAAAAATAAGAAAATGGGAAGAACTACAGAGAAATCTGCGAGCAGGCCCAGAACGGGGGTGGGTGCGTGTGTCGGGAAGTGAACGTTGTTTTGCAACCTGGTTGCTAGCTCCCCATGCTCTAACGCGGTGCTGGGAGTTGCTTCTTGTATAATTACTTCTGTTCTCAATGTGCTCCTGACTCATCCATCCCCCCTCCGTCGCGTGGGGCAGGCCACTTCCCACTGTGCCTCAGTTTCTCCATCTGTAAACTGGGGACTTTGATACTTAACGCCTGCGCCGAGGTATTTTGTGAACCAAATTATTTGTGTGCGGATGTACCGCGGGTTGCATTAGCCCCTCCGGATCCAGTGCTTGGGGTGCGGGGGGAATATATTGATTTATAGGCAGATAGCTTCTCTGTGGCAAGGAGCAGAAGGGTCTGCTGCTTGAGACAGACAGGAAGGAAACATTATTCCAAATTTTGGGGGTCCGAAGGCTGGGCCTGGGAGGATTAAGGGGCTCGTTCAGGCCAGGCAGCGCGGTGAAGCTTGGCAGCTTTCGCTCTCGCCTGCGTTTGGCCCCCGTGCCCCGCTCCCGGTGAAGGGGGATCCCTTCTGAACGGAGCTGCTGGTTCGCTCTGGCGTTTTCAGCCTTTGAAGAGAGGATGTATTTAGAGTCAAGTGGATCCGTTTCTGCCGTGCTAGCGCATCAGGAGTGACTTCTTTATTTATCTTTTCCCAAACAAACCCTTGGCGTTGGAAAAGAACGGCTGCTTCTGCTGAAGCCTTTCTGAGAGGCTGGGGGCTGGTGCCAGCTCTGCCGCCGGCGCTTCGTGAGACCAGTCTCCTTTCCGGCCACCGCAGAGGCTCCTGTTCCTGGGGAAGGTGCAGCAGGTGCCTTGGGCTGAAGTGTTTACACTCGGCTCTTTGGAAAACGGGCTGGGGTGGTTGGTGCTCCCCTGTTCCTGCACATCGGTGCCCTTGAGCGCTGAGCTTGCTGCTGTGCCCTTTCCAAAGGATGCTCGCTGCCAGCACCCTGCCTGCATCTCTCTGAGAGCGTCTGCAGACCCTGGGAGCCCAGGGAGGAGCGATGGGAACGGTTTTCCCAGCGGTGACGTGATTGTAGCAAGCGTTCGGCTGGGCAGAGTGAGGCTGAGTAAGCAGGGGACCTTTCCAGTAGAAGTGATGGGATTGGGAAATACTCCCAGAGGTGGATGGGGGTCCACTGGTGAGGCTCGAGCCGCCGTAGCCCAAAGCCCGGAGCCAGCTCAGTCCAGATGCTGTCTGGCTGTATTAACCCGGGTCCTTGCCAAGGCTTGCTAGCTCTGGCCCGGATCCGCGCTAATTCAGCTGTTCTTGCAGACTCTGGCTTGAGAGCACCTGGGCTGCGTTTCTCCTCCTCCTTCCCAGAGCGAAGGTAAGCAGACGTCTGTCCTCGCCTGCCGATGGAGGCATGTCTTGGGTGCCGGGCAGGACAGGGGCCGCGACAGTGATGTGGAGAGGCGCAGAGGACCCCGCGAGCCGATAGCTAGTGCTTGCTGCAGAACCCGCTGGGGACCTGCTCTGCGCTGGGAGTTTGCCCGTGCGATGCGATGCCTCCGAGCAGCCGAGGCCCCTGTGACTCATTGCGCTTTCCTCCTTCTCTCGTAGCCTTTTGCAGCGAAGATGGCGGGTGGCGTGGACGGCCCCATAGGGATCCCGTTCCCTGATCACAGCAGCGACATCCTCAGCAGTCTGAATGAGCAGAGAAACAACGGGCTGTTGTGCGACGTGGTCATCTTGGTGGAAGGCCAGGAGTTCCCCACCCACCGCTCCGTCCTGGCGGCGTGCAGCCAGTACTTCAAGAAGCTCTTCACCTCAGGGTTAGTGGTGGACCAGCAAAACGTGTATGAGATAGACTTTGTGAGTGCAGATGCCTTGTCGGCTCTGCTGGAGTTCGCTTACACCGCGACCCTTACTGTCAGCACTTCAAATGTCAATGACATCCTCAATGCCGCCACACTGCTGGAGATCCCGGCGGTAAGGGATGTTTGCACGGATCTCCTGGACAGGAAGATTCTGGCCAAAAATGACCAGATGGATACAGTAGATCAAATTGATCAAAGGAACCATCTCAGAGCAAAAGAGTACCTGGAGTTCTTCCAGAGCAACCCCGTCAATGGCCACCAAGGCAGCTTTCCGTGGACCAACGCAGAGTTGAGAGACCTTCAGAGACTGAACTTCCGAGGCCAAGAGGAGGAGGAGGAGCCGGACTGCAATGGCATGGACTTCTACTCGCAAGCCCCCCTAAACGAAAGACCAAAGGCGAATGACTGTGATCCTGACAGCAACCCAGCCATGTGGCTGGACAGAGAGGAGGAGGAGGCGACTCCTGGCTCCTTGTTTTCACCTTCTCAGAACGGACATTACAGCGGCCGTGGCCTGGCCACACCGGCAGAAGAGGAGGGGACCCCGGGGGCGCCTCTGGACCAGCAGGAAGCCGGCGACTCCCCCAGCTTCGTTCCTGCTGGAGCGGAGACGGAGGATGATGCGAGGGAGGTGGATGGCTTGCCCGCTAGCGCCCTGCTGCAGCAGATGATCATCAATTCTGTGGGGAGACAGCAGCTCGGGGAGGATGACCGGAAGGATGACGATGGGGTCGTGGATTATTACTTGAAATATTTTGGCAGTTCGAACGAGGGCGACGTCTATCCGTCCTGGTCCCAGAAGGTGGAGAAGAAGATCAGGGCAAAAGCATTCCAAAAGTGCCCCATCTGCGAGAAGGTGATCCAGGGGGCTGGCAAGCTGCCGCGCCACATCCGCACCCACACCGGCGAGAAACCCTACGAGTGCAACATCTGCAAAGTCCGATTCACCAGGTAAGGAGCGGGCGGACGCTGGAGGAGAGGGGACTGTCACACGAAACCAGCTCTTGGCTTTCTTTGGGGGCCGTCGTGGGGCTGGTCTTGTGCCGTTTTAGCTCACCTGCTTCACTAATTTCCATCTCCACAGGCGAGTTGGATAGGAAGGCCGGAGTTTTCCAGAGAGATGAGCAATTTGGGTGTTTGACTCTTGAAATATCTCAAGGGGCCTGTCTTGATAGCCGGTGCCGCACCGTCCCAGTGTCCTGAATTGCTGAGCTCTGCTGGAAACCTGGCCAGAGCCGAGCTTTTGCGGAGGCCAAATAGCGTGGTTGGTGAAACAGAGCTGCAGCCCCTGGTATTTCCATCGTGGCCGAGGAGCCAGGGGTTGAGATGAGTCGGAGAGTCATTTAGAAATGGCTCCACGGGGAGAGTGAAGCGCCGGTGGCTGGTAGTCAGGTTGGGAAGAGGCCGAAGCCCACGTCTCTCGTGTCCTCTCTCGGCGAACCGTGGCGGGCTGAGCCATGGCCGCCCCGAACAACGCACAAACGGCGGTGCCTTGGTTCGGCTCCCCGGGGGCGTCCTCCTCGGTGCTATTTCTAATCAGGGTTCCTCTGCTCCTTCCCTCTGCCGCGGGAACGCTGAAGAAAGGGGATATTGTTTGGATTCCTCTGGTTCACTCGAGTCCACGCGTCGCAGCGCCGCCTCCTCTCTCTCTCTCTCTCTCTCTCTCTC